TTATATTAAATATATATATATATATAATAAATCATAAATTATTATATTTTGATAAATATTTGAATTGATTTATCTTATTCTTTTCGAGAAAGTTGAATTTATTTATTTTTAAAATCAATCATTTAGTAAAAACATTGATACAAAATAATTAAAATTTTATACGTAAAACAAAACAATACCAACAAAGTTAAAATATTTTTTATCTTATAATTTTATTTACTTTATTTTTTAATTATTAAAATAAACATTTTTAATTTATGTATTTTCCTTTTTCTTTATGTTTTTTTAGTCCTTCTATTTTTTTTTTAAGTTATCTATTTTGTAAAGATGTAGTAAAGATCCTTAATTTTATTTTTTTATATTGAATTTGTTTTGTTAGAATTATCTTAAACTGATGTTGAATTATCCTTTTCCTTCTCTCATGATTTCAAATTACCTTCTTCATCTCTTAAAGATAGTTAACTTGTATTCATATTAATTAACTCTAATAATGTCATTTGCAGAAAAAACTAGAGCTGTCAAAATGGGCTTGGCCGGTGATTCAACCTGGCTCACCACGGGTTCGAGCCGGGTTGGGTTAAAAAATTTGAAAATTTCAATACGGGTCAAATTTAAACCCGGCTCACTAACAACCCGGCTCACCCGGGTTGAACCCGTGGTGAGCCGGGCTAGCCCACCAACCCGTGATTAAATTTTTTTTTGAAAAAATACAATAATTATTGGGCCATGATGCAGTCCAACATGAGACAATAATGATTTAATGTTGGATTGTGATTTGTAATTTTTATGATTTTGGATTGTATTTGAAATTTAAGATGATTTTGGATTATATTTGAAGTTTAAGATGATTTTGGATTATATTTATCTATTTGAGATTATTTAGATTTGATTTGATTGTATTTAAAATTATCATTTAATGTTTGGGATGAATGATTCATTTATGGATGTCTTAATTAAGAATCTCATATTGTTAAAATAAGTTTAAATTTTTGGGCTTTAGTTGCATATTATGAAAAAAAATGAAAAAAATTATTTTTTTTAAAGGTGAGCCAACCCGTTTAACCCACCAACCCGTGGTGGGCCGGGCCGGGTTCGATACACTCAGTCGCTTAACCGCAAACAAGGATTTGGAACCATCCACAATAATAATAATTATTTTTTATAAACATAATTTATGTAATATTTTTAAGTTAATAATTAAAGATAATTATATTAAATATATATATATATATAATAAATCATAAATTATTATATTTTGATAAATATTTGAATTGATTTATCTTATTCTTTTCGAGAAAGTTGAATTTATTTATTTTTAAAATCAATCATTTAGTAAAAACATTGATACAAAATAATTAAAATTTTATACGTAAAACAAAACAATACCAACAAAGTTAAAATATTTTTTATCTTATAATTTTATTTACTTTATTTTTTAATTATTAAAATAAACATTTTTAATTTATGTATTTTCCTTTTTCTTTATGTTTTTTTAGTCCTTCTATTTTTTTTTTAAGTTATCTATTTTGTAAAGATGTAGTAAAGATCCTTAATTTTATTTTTTTATATTGAATTTGTTTTGTTAGAATTATCTTAAACTGATGTTGAATTATCCTTTTCCTTCTCTCATGATTTCAAATTACCTTCTTCATCTCTTAAAGATAGTTAACTTGTATTCATATTAATTAACTCTAATAATGTCATTTGCAGAAAAAACTAGAGCTGTCAAAATGGGCTTGGCCGGTGATTCAACCTGGCTCACCACGGGTTCGAGCCGGGTTGGGTTAAAAAATTTGAAAATTTCAATACGGGTCAAATTTAAACCCGGCTCACTAACAACCCGGCTCACCCGGGTTGAACCCGTGGTGAGCCGGGCTAGCCCACCAACCCGTGATTAAATTTTTTTTTGAAAAAATACAATAATTATTGGGCCATGATGCAGTCCAACATGAGACAATAATGATTTAATGTTGGATTGTGATTTGTAATTTTTATGATTTTGGATTGTATTTGAAATTTAAGATGATTTTGGATTATATTTGAAGTTTAAGATGATTTTGGATTATATTTATCTATTTGAGATTATTTAGATTTGATTTGATTGTATTTAAAATTATCATTTAATGTTTGGGATGAATGATTCATTTATGGATGTCTTAATTAAGAATCTCATATTGTTAAAATAAGTTTAAATTTTTGGGCTTTAGTTGCATATTATGAAAAAAAATGAAAAAAATTATTTTTTTTAAAGGTGAGCCAACCCGTTTAACCCACCAACCCGTGGTGGGCCGGGCCGGGTTCGATTTTTTTGAGCTCATTGATAAATGAGCCGGGTTGGGTTAACCCACCAAATGACCAATCCGTGGTGGGCTGGGCCGGGCCGGGTAGCCCGTTTGGACAGCTCTAAAAAAAACTAGGCATTGAACATTAAACATGAGGGTAAAAAAAATGTGCAAAATATTGAGAAAACTAATTTAAAGTAATTTTAGAAAAAAAAATTCATTAAAAACATAAAATTAAAGATTTTTGTCACGTTAACCAAAAATAGAAAGTGTTGTAAAGAAGTTAATGACAAAAATTTAAAAAGAATTAAAAGGTAAATTAAGCCTATGTTTGGTGGAGATGATTTAATAGAGAGGGAGATGGATTAGGGTGGATTTTTTTAAAAAATATTTGTGTTTAGTAGAGGGTATTCAAGGAGAATTGTGAGAAATTAGAAATCAACCCTACATTATTTTTTATATCCTCTCTATCGAAGAGATTGTTGTGAAATTTGAAAAATATGTAAAATTATATAATATAAAAAAAATGTTAATTCAAACTATATTATAAAGTGATGGTAAAGTAATAATTATAAATTTTACTCTATTTTTCACTTAATTTTACTCTATCAAATAACTATAAATTTCATTTTATTATACTTTATTTCTTATCTATTTCCTATCAAATCATTTCTTACTTATTCTCTCTTATTGTCTTCTATTCCTTCCTTTCCCCAAACAAAATATAAGTGAAATTATAGAAACCAAAAAAATATTTTTACCTATTTACAATTATTATACTTTCTTTTTAAGATACACCATGATTTTATGCTAGTTAAATAGAAGTAACCTATCAACCAAAAAATATTGATTGATATTTAATTCTCTTTTTCATGCATATGAAAAAAATTATTAAAAAATAAAATCCATTTCGATAATTTTTGTTTATCGTTTTTAAGGAAATTAGTCTATAATAATTTATCAAAATATCTTTAGTTAAAAAATGTAATGTTTTATTATTATTGTTATTATTATATAATGCTAACAATTTGATTTAAACCTATAATCTTATGTAAATTATTTAATTCCTTGTTAGGTTTACCATAATTGTTTCGGTTTGTCTTATTACAATTTGTAAGTGGTTTGAAAGGAGGTAACTATGAAATCCTAAATAGCAAATAGCTTAACAGTTAACACCAACGTAATGTAAAGTAAAATGGTTAATGCCACTTAAAATAATTTAATATCGTACAAATTTATATATCCTAATAATAAAATGATATGTTTTTCGTGTGATTTTTTATTAACTGTTTTATCCTATAATTTTTATTACACTTTTTAATTGATTACTCAAAACTACCCGCATCCAATATTTAATCGTTATTTCATATTTAACTTTAAATACACGATGGTACGAAGAATTTTTTTTTTTTTTGTACATTAGACATTAGTATGAAATAATATGAATTGTTAAGCACAAATTAAGAAGTCTCAATCAAAATCCAAAAGTAACATACGATTAATCATAGTACATTCACTCATACGAGGTAAGATACATATAAACTAATTTTAAGTTAAGAAATAAAAATAATTATTTTATTATTATTTAAAGAGGTGTAAATAAAATACAATTATTTATATGAATCGGATACGAACGTTTTAAAAATAAATATATAATAAAAAAAACCAAGATTTATTAATTGAGATAATTATACGAAACAACCACATGATTTGAAAGAATTGGCTGTATGGTCACCAAACTGCAAAACCAATCGAATATTCGATTTTGATTTTGCTGGATTTAAACTTGTTATGATCCTTCTCTCATAATTTTTCGTATGTCATTAGAGAATATAATACAAAAAACAATTTAATAGATTTTGCATAAACATTAATAACTTTAACATAATTGTTTTCATAATTTCCTTTCCCATAACGTAAGAGTAAGGAGATTCAAATTTATTTTTTCTTCGTTCGAAACCCCTTTAAAAGAACTCAGAATCTTTGATCATCAGACTTACATAAGCATTCATATTTTGTTATTCAAAGACATCACATCACATCCTTTTATTTTATTTTCTTATTTAAGGAAGAATAATAAAAAACGAACTCTATCTCTATCTTCATATTCTGCACCGCTATTAATTTCATGCCTGATACCTCATCTGCTACATCTTATAAAAAAGCCAACTTTCTCTATTTCAAAATATCTGATAATTACGTAAAAGAATATAATACATGTACCAATATTGCAAAGATTTTTTACCTTGTTAGTCATTTATAATAAATTTGTTAACATTAAAAATCATATGAGAATAATTTTAATTGATAAATGATATAAAAATTTGTTCATTGCTTGATAGAAAAAGAAAAAAAAAAAAAGAAGAAGATGTAAGGTGGATGAAAATAGGAAAAATGAATGAAAATATATGAGAAGTAGAATAAAAAAAAATGTTTTGGTTTAAGAAAAATAAAAAATAGAAATAAGTGGAAAATAAAATAAAAGTAAAGATTTTAATTTAAGAAAAATAAGGAATAAATAAATGTGAGAAATAAAGTAAAAATAACCAAAGAATATCTGCTCTCGTATTTTTCCTCTATCAAATATACTTGCTCTTATTTCCACTTTTTTCTTTCACCATACAAATGGAAAGAGCGCATGCTTATTAAATTCATGACATGGCCATTAGTAGTTTATTTTTATATGTATGTTTTTATATTGAGGAGTCCCCACCTACTAAACAACTAAATTATGCTGAAAATGTTCCCTGGTGTGTGTTCTACCTTGTGTCATATTCACTATTAAAAACACAAGATTCTCTTCCTCAATTCTCACCTGCAACCTCTTTTATGCTCTCTTCACCCTCTTTATCAAAACCATTTTGCTATATCATACATCATAACCAACTTTTCTCCACCTTCCCTCATTTGATTCAATTTCAATTATTCAAAGACAGCTCCACCCACTTCTCATCTTTCTCTCTTCTCTTCTATGCAGTTGAGAAAAAATATGCTCCAATCCAACAAGCAAAGAACCTTCTCCTCACTTTTCTTTTGTAGTACCTTTTTCCTCTAGCTTTTTTGTTCTCTGTGCTGTTGTTAGTATCTACAACTACTTCATGATGAGTTTATGTTCCTCTCAAGGAACAAGTTCTGATGACACCAAGGATGTTCCCAATGCACTTGGAAAAGACTCTTCTGAGTTAAAAAGGCACAAACTCAGAACCTTTTTGAAAAAAATAATGTGGGACTTTGCCCTTGCTTGTGTTGGTGTTACTTGTGGTGGCAATAACTACCGTAACGGTCTCAGGAAGACCACTTTGGAGCATAACAAGGCGTGGCTGCTGTCAGAATCTGGAGCAGAATTGGCAAGTGCTGACCCTCAATCGGTTCACTCATCTTTCAGGTTTAGCTTCTGTTCTCAGGTTGAAGTTGAGTCCTTCAACATGAGTTCTACTCTTTCTGCTGCTACTACTACTGCTACTACCATTTTGACGGTGAATTTGGAATATGAGTCTCAAGTGAGGGAGATGAAGTGGAGGAGAATAGAGTCACTGGAGAAAAGCATATCCCCAGTGGTCAACACTTTGATCAGGTTCAGCTATGATGAAATTCTATTTGCTACTCACAATTTCTCCCAAGGTAACTTGTGTGCGTGTGTGCGTGGATGTTCTGTTGATGAAATTGAATTTGATTCCTTTGTGTGAGATTGTGATTCGTTGTTTTGTTATGGATAGGGAGGGTGTTGGGGAGAGGTGCCTTGAGCTGTGTTTTTAGAGGAAGAGTTGGGCCTTGGAAGACTGCTGTTGCTATTAAAAGGTTGGATAAAGAAGACAAAGAGAGTGCCAAGGCGTTTTGTAGGGAATTGATGATTGCTAGTTCTCTTCATAACACAAACGTTGTTCCCCTTGTGGGATTTTGTATTGACTCAGAAGAGGGTTTGTTTTTGGTGTACAAGTATGTGTCTGGGGGAAGCTTAGAGCACCACTTACATGGTACTTATTTTTTCTTGACTCCTGAATTCTATATAGTGTTTACTATTGAATTTGATGATTTTCGCTGATTCTTGCTGGCCTTTTTGGTAGGTAGGAAGAAGAGTGTGAAGGGTGGTTCATCACTTCCATGGTCTGTGAGGTATAAAGTTGCAATTGGGATTGCAGACGCCGTGGCTTATCTGCATAATGGAACAGAAAGATGTGTTGTTCATAGAGACATTAAGCCTTTAAACATTCTGCTTTCCTCTAAGAAGATTCCCAAGGTAAGATTCTGTTATGCTGATTAGTTGTAGTATACCATAGTGGAAATTGTTTTTGTATCATAAGAAGCCCTTACAAGTCATTCTGTTTGTTTTTGATAAATTGTAGTTATGTGATTTTGGATTAGCTACATGGACTGCTGCACCTTCAGTTCCATTCCTTTGCAAAGCTGTGAAAGGAACATTTGGGTATGAACTTAAACCCTTTATGTTGACTCAATTTTTTTGTTTTGGGGAGGTCTCTTTGGCTTTTTGCATTATTCATTTTCATATTCGGATTATTGACATAAAATATTTGATACCTGTCCTTTCTCAACAGTTATTTGGCTCCTGAGTATTTCCAACATGGGAAAGTATCAGATAAAACTGATGTTTATGCTTTGGGAGTTGTTTTATTGGAACTCTTAACTGGCCGCAAGCCAATTGAAGCAAAAAGGCCTCATGGAGAGGAAAACTTGGTCTCATGGGTGAGTTAATGATCAAATGTGATGGCTTGTAATTTTAAGTTAACTAAACTCGCTGAGCATCAACTACTCCAGCTAATTAATCCATTAGTTAATGAACAAAGTAATGATATGACTAATACATCAGTTTCTAACTTCTTGAAGACCAGAACAAACATAATAATAATGAAAATTGGTCATTTTATCTGGCTCTATAATGAAATTGATCTAGAAGTAAAATATGACAATTATAGCTGTTTCATTTTAAACAAATGTTTTTAATTTGCTAATAATTACAAAAATGTTATTGTACTTTTTCTTTGTTTTCTTATTTTAAAGATTTTTACTAGGAAATCTTTGAAAAGGGGTAGCATTTTTATATTTACTGTGAAAATCAACATAGAAACGGAAAACAGAGTTTTGGATTTATAGATCTGGCTAACATTAGATTAATGTAGTCTTGATGGATCATGCGTTTAGAAATTAATGCAGCACTCAATTACGTGCATTGCAGTATCCAAAGTGAATCCTGACTTTTCCTTTATAGTAGAAAACTTAATCCAAAATTTTTCAATTATGACAACATTTGTGCTGGTAATTTCAGCTGGTGTTGAAATGAGCAAGTTGTGTTTGAGAACAACAATACACGGTCCTTTTGACACATCCAATGTGACATTAATTTGCAGGCTAAACCTTTGCTGAGAAAAGGGAAAGGAGCCATTGAGGAGTTGCTTGATCCTCAAGTGAAGTACAGTTTGAGATACACAGATCAAATGGCTAGGATGGTTGATGCAGCAGCTGCTTGTGTTACAAATGAAGAATCTAGGAGACCTAGCATAGGTGAGATTGTTGCAATACTGAAGGGTGAGGTAGAGCCTGTTTTCTCTAGAAGAAGGAAATCTGGTTATTTTGGTAATGGATATGTGATTGATTACTACCCTCAATTACAAGAAACAAATAATGAGATGAAAAGTCACTTGGCTTTGGCAATGCAAGGAGTTCCAGAGTATGATGAAGATGATTTTCTTTGTGGTCGTTGAGAATTATTTTTGCCATGATTCTCACCATAGTGCAGGATTAGATGTGATGTCAACATTTTCGAGTTGTTGGTAGAAATAGGAGCTCAGATAAATATTGCTTGTTTGTACATTTCTTCCATTTACCTTCCCCTAATCAAAGGGGTAAAGTGTAATATAAATAACTTATATAAACTCATTATTACATGTTTATCCTTGTGAGTTCTTGGCACTCTTTTTCTTGGCTCTAGAACATACAAGTTTTAGAAGATCCCTTAGCTAATTCTCCACCGATTTACACCAAAAGAAAACACGCGCACAACCAGCCAATTTCACATTGATGAACATTAGTTGAATATAAAACTTTATCATGAGTCTACATAATTGTTTAGATGACGTACAAACATACAATTTTTGTGTGTTTAAAGTACGTTCCATTTCAAGATAAGATCATTAGTTATTGGTCACCTATCTTAACTATCTTGATTTCTAAAGGAAGGACCTTAGTGATCATTAATTAATGCTAGTGATATTTTCTTTTTAACATTTTCTTCATTATATTGCTTGAAAATTATCACAAATTACAAATTTTGTAAGTTTCATATCTTATTTAAAGACTTTTTGTCAATTGCTTGTCACTTATCTTGGTGTCTAGAGCAAAGACCTTATTATATAACAAGAGGTGGGAGCTATTAAAATTTGTAAAGTTTAATAAACTTTAACCAATAACAAGAGAGAGGCCACATCAGAAAGCAAGTGTTAGAAAGAGTATCACTAGCATTTCCCATATAACAATATACATAAGTCAGATCAAAAAAAGCATATGAAAAAAGAAAGAGGTTCAAAAGAGGGTGACATCATGCTATGAATGAACTTCTCATTGTGATGACGTATAGAGAAAGTATGCACACTCAAGAACCATTTTCTCTTCCCATGCAGAGCACAAAGGAAGGTAGAATGAAATTTAATTAATTACAAAGGGTTGGTTAATTTAATGAACTTAGAAAATCTTGGCAACATCTTTGACTAAGCCACGGTTGGCTCTGGCGAATTCTGTGAACTCTTCATAAGAAATGTAGCCATCTCCATCAGTGTCAATCTCTTCCATCATCCTTTGCACCTCGTCTGGTGTGACTGATCCAAGGGCTTTCAGTGCTTCCCCAAGCTCTGCTGAAGAGATTTGGCCATCGCCGTTGGCATCAAAGTGCTTGAAAATGCGCTCTCTGTCTGCCACGTCTTGAGGATCATCAGCCATTGTTGACAGAATATATTAATAATATTGTTTTGTGTGTATGACAACGAACCAGTTCTTTCTGTTGCACTCAAATTATTGGAGATTCGTCAAAGAGATTGGAACTTTGGTTTTAAAGAGGGAGAGTGCCCATCATGTAAGGACACCCTTTAATGTCGGGTTGTGGTGTGCAAAGACTTGGTCATAGTTCACAACCCTTTTTACTATACTTGTTTATGGTTCAAAATTATGTTCTAATATTTGTTTTGGAAATGCAATGGAGGGGGGTTCTTGATCTTTCTCATTATGGTTGGAAATTGAAAGTGTTTTAAGGTTGGTTTTGTTTGTAATTGAAGAATGTGAAAGATCACTATGTCCACGTGGCTTCTCTTAGAGGACTTGCTTTACCTATATGGAATTATCTTATTATCTTTGTGTATAGTAGGAAAAAAGGCACGAGAATGTAAGTTTTTTTTATAAAGATAATTAATAAGTAGTTTTTCTTTTTTATAATTATGAATAATTTTTTTATGATAGTTAATAAAAGGATAAAGTTAGAAAATACCAACAAGTAGTATTCCTATTATTATTAGTATAGATGACCTCTATCTGCTGAGTAAATATAAATATTACCATTTATTAATATTAACAAAATAAAGATTGAAAAACTAAAATTAAATTTAAATATATTTATAAAAATTAAAAAATATCTATACCTATTTTATATTTAATACCTAAATCTGTCCTCTTATCTTCTATTTTTTTAACTTACAAAACAAAATATGCTTGCTTCCTATTTATCATTTTAATAAAATAGTATTTAATCTACTAAATTGTATATCTATTTTGTAATTTAAAATAATTTTTCCTTTTTTTTATATTTTTATATTCACTTGAATTAAAAAATATCACAACACAGAAATTACTCTATGATAAACCAAGGCATCAATTTAAATAAGCTAAATTACTTTTTGTCTTCTTGTTTATTTAATTTATTGAATTTGACCTCTTTATTAGTATTGAATTGTTTGATTATTTAATTTTTAAAAATGATACAATATTGATCATTCTATCTGAACAAAATTATTGACGTTACTTTATTATAAATATGATATAATAAAAAATGATACATTTATTGGGATACAAACAAGTTCCACATCGATAAAATAAAAGAAGAAATAATAGTTTATAAAATACACGTATACTTCAATGATTGAGATGTCTTTTAAATAGATACAAAAAACAAACCCGTGAAAACTTAGACTCAAAATAGATAATATCTCATCATTCTGAAGTTGTGTGCGAAATAACATTATAAATATCCCCTCAAATTAGCTTTAGCAATTATTTCATGACAGATTGGTTGAAAAGATTTTGCTTAGTAGGTTGGATGTTCAATATGCAACAACAACCATGAATTGAATAGAAGCTTGGCAAACATATAAATTGAAGCGTAGAGAACGATTTCCCATTACCAAATCATGAACTTGATTAGTAATTTAGTATAATTTTGCCTGAACTGATCATTTGCAAAATTATTCATACGACCAATTCTTATGTATCCCACTAATTCAAGTTCTCAAGAATATAAATACCCCCTCCAAAAAAAAAAAAGTGATCCTCATTGAGTCACATAATTACATAGTAGCTGTAAAGTTAGGATACAGGCTTAAGCATGGCATTCAGAACAGCTTCCTTGGTGGGCAAAGCTGGTATTGCACCTCTCTCGGTCACAGTCAATGCTCCACATACATTAGCAAACTTGAGAGAATCTCTCAATGCTTCTTCTTTCTGTAAGTTAAAACCACATACATAACGTTTAGTAAAACACACACAAGTAAGAAAGGATGGAATATAAATTGAATGTTCATTAATACGTGATGGCAAAAACTAGGAGTGTACATTAACCTTAAACTTTTTTTTTTTTTTTTTTATGCAATAAGGATATCCTCCCCACCGATAGTCAGAGACTAATAGACATGAAACAGAGGCAATAAACTGTTGTTTTAAACTAACAATAGTTATTATGTTGGCATCATTAGTTCGTCTCATTTTCATGGACTCTTGGCTAGACTTTAAGTTACAAGCTCTGAAGTTTATACACCAAATTAATATTCAAAATTTCGAGCTCTGGTAAATTTATTTTTTTATATTTTCAAAAATGTTATTGTTTTAGTCCTGAAAGATGATCATTTTAACCCATGACATTACTAAATGATTTTAGTCCTCCAAATTACAGCAGTGAGGACTAAAATAAAAATTCCAGGAACTAAATGACATTTTTTTTTCTTAATTTAATAGACTAATTAACTAGTGTTAAAAACTTAAGGGACAAATTTGGTATATACCATCATGTATTACTCAGTCAATTATTAATCCTTAACCTCACATGTGGGGAGACATGTGCAGTGAGATTATTTTGATCAAGCAATTACATTGGGTGACAACCATAAAGTAGCAGTGTAAAATACAAGAAATTGATTTGTTTTTTTAATAATTCAAACAATAATGGGTGTCTTCTCACACGAGTTTCTGCACTTGCGTAATGTAAATTTTTGGGATGATTAATATGAAAAACAAATACATTTTGCTCACCTGAAGTAATGAAAGATCCACAGCTAATTGTGATAATATACCAGCCACAAAAGCATCGCCAGCACCAGTGGTATCAACAGCATCCACCTTCAATCCCTCCACCCTACCACTGAACTCCTGCAAAGAAATAGTGGAACAGGTTTCAAATCATAGCCTTCAATAATACACTATTAGAATTTATAACTAATGATTTTTCCAAGACTTTTCTAGTTGCCTTCTGTAATCAATTTCCAAAAGAATACATGGATGTCAAGTTGTCAATTACTGTGGATCGACTAATAACCAAATATCCCCAATAGTTTTCAATAATTTTCAGTTCCAACTAATTATTGCAAGAATTGCAACAGAACATTAACCATTGGCACCTATAGAAGGTAAATTATTACATATTGCTCATGATCGGCCCTATAGAGATTAGATTAGATGGTTTTTAGTTTAGTGAAAAAGGGGAGAGGGAAACTTAGAAGGACATTGGAGAAGTTGTTAAAAGTATCTCATGATAAATAAAATCTCTGAAAATCTAGTCTTTAATCGAGTCCAATGACATCATGTAATCCAAGTAGCCAACCTCGTGGGAAAAGGCTTATGTTGTTGTCTTTAATCAACAACCCACTTCAAATAAAAAAAATAAAAAATAAAAAACCCAATTTCCTAAGAACCTTAGCTTAAGTGCCACCAAGTCTCTTTATGGGCTATTTGATCATGAGTTCAAATCCCGCCAGTTGCTTTGCCTTCACTTTAGCTTCAAGGAATAACAGCGCATTCTTAGTACACAGGAAGTATTCATCCTTTTTGCAGAAGAGTTGTGCGATTCCTTTTTCTAAATGATCCAACATTACTATATGATTTATACATTTATTGTGCTAGAAAGTAGAAATGTCCTGTTTCCATTCTTAATCTAATACGAGGATACAGTGTATGCAGCAACTATTTAATTGGTAAATAATACTGCCATGCCTTTGAAGATACCCAAATGATGACCATAAAACAAATATTAGCAACAGCTGAAACAAATTTCAGAAAATAGCATCTTTTGAAGGCTTACCTTGGTGTAGTATCTGCATCCTTCTGCACCTTCAGTCACAAGGAGTAGCTTGAGGTTTCGATGGAATAGTTTACGAACAACGGCATCGTCATATGGGTCCTCACCTTTCGTAAGAAAGGAAATCTCTTCTTCGCTTACCTGAATAATTATCAGATTGGTTGTGTTAGAGACTTATTTTACACTCCCCTGTAATCTGCATTCTAGAAAAAGGGAACAAGTTAAGTCTATTGCTAGAGAGAATATGTTCTGCCTTGTTGATAACAGAGGGACCTTAATGATATCTGCAGTCTCCCATATACTCAGGATTCCTTCTCTTGCACTATCTGCAGAAGGCCATAAAGGAAGCCTCAGGTTAGGGTCATAAGACAGAACCACACCAGCTTCTTTTGCAGCTTTTGCTGCAGCAATGTGTGCTGATTTGCATGGTTCTGTTATAAGACTTATAGAACCATAATGGAAGACCTTGGCCTGCCAGAAAGAAATAATAGAACCATATTACTAGAATTTATGAATGAAGTGGAGTCAAAGTGGAAAATATTAAAAGGAACATAGACTTGGCGATCATTTTGATGTTTTACCTGATGTTAAGGAAACCTGAAAGGTAGTTCTTAAACTACAGAAACAATAATCCTATATAAGTAATCAGGATGATGGTTTAGATCCTTAAACAGTAAGTTGTAATTCTAAATAAATTCAAAAAGTACCAGTTGAATGAAGTGATTTTGATTTCTGAGTAACAAAAGATTACTTGAGAAAAGTGCAACAGAAAGAATGTGGAGTAACTTGCTCAATAATGGTTTCATTTCCCTTTGATTCAACTCATATGAATTATGGCATACATTTTACTTCAGTTTGACTACCACAAATTTTGCTTTTGGTTTTACCTTTCTTATCAGGTCCAAATCAAGTTCATCTTCTTGGAGCAGCATATCAGCACTGGGATTGCGATAAAACATGAACTCTCGCTCTCCATCATTCCTCAATGTAACAAATGCTAAAGCAGTGCGTGCACCAGGGTCAAAACGCATCCCTTCATTGTTCACATTATTTTCCTTGAGTATATCAGCAAGCATATATCCAAATTCATCCTCACCAACCTGCTCATTTTGCATAAAGTGTTAAACTCTGTTGAACTTGAATTTAGAAGAGAAACTTTGACTATGACTTCTAATTTATATAAAATAGAACTGTTTGAAATTTGAGTTTATTGATATCAAATTTTCATTTGCCGTTCATAAAAAACAGCAGGAAAAAATACCTAGTAAGGAGCACAATTGAAAAATGAAAATTAGCGGTAAACACAAAATTATGGACATAATTCTGATCATTAGTTGATCATAGGCCTTCAACTACGGGTCCTGGACTCTACAGTATTTTGGTCCCAAAATGCATATAAATATTAAATTTTACTTTTGAAAAAATATAATATATTATACTTTAAATGGATGGGTTGATTGGTTTTTTATTAAATGAGTAATGGATATAATGGATTGTTTCGATACATTTTTAATGGATCATAAATGAATTAAAGATTTATTTTTAACTCATTATATGTTTGACATTCCTGTAGGAAACAGCCAAAAGTGACAAAACCACAACTGCATGCAAGTTCAGGGGCATTATATTAACCCCCATTATTTTATCAGCCGAGTTAACCCCGATTTTCGTCCTTGAAAGACTCATAGGGCATTAGATTTTTCCTTGAAAGATTTGCATCATTGGTTTACACCCATAATAATGAAAGATATCACCACATTAGTTCTTTTGTCAGCCTCAGCTAGAAACAACATTAACAAAGTCTGATGTGGCCCATTATATGCCACCTAAGCATCTATGTGGTGACTGGTGAATCTTTGAGGGATTAAGTTGAATTGATGACATGTGAATCTTTGTGGGACAAAAATGAGGCTTAACTTATTGAGATCATGTTATTATTAGGATTGATTTAGTATTAAATCAATCCTAATAATTATAGCAGATACTAAAAGATCTCAATATAACTTACGATTTTATCAGTGTGCCAGTATGGTTCTGACTCCTTAGTAATATCATTGTATGGTTACAAATTTTTGCTTGCTTGATTTTGCCTTAGCAGATCAATGGTTTTTGTTCATTATAAACATACACACGACCTTGTTTTTGAACACTAAGCCTTATACAAGCAAACTCCCAACAATCACTATTGGAGATGACACAACCATTAGATATATGACCAAAATAAAGTATATAATTGGAGAATAATCCGCACCTTATAAAGCGGTTTTTTGAGACTAAATTGCGCCCAATTCTACATGTAACAAAGCAAGGCGGAACTCCGTATGGGGAAATAACATGATTCCTCTTAGAAGCCCTCGAGGTTCAGTTTATCAAAGAAAGGAAAAGGGTCCACCAGCAGATTATTTATGTGCAAATTGAGATGCGGTCTGGTTCGAGCATATCCTCTTTCATATCTATATCTCACAGATCTAGATTCACATACCTATTAGCAATAAAAACTCTTGTTCTTACTCGAGAGCTTGTAGTTGCAGATCCTCCATATCTATAAGATAGAATTGACATAGAGCATGAGGGCCAATTCACTAAGAAAATGACCCAGTTAAAGGACTGCTCCATAAGTGAAACTCCATTCAATGAAGATACCGAAACGGAGTCCCTAGTTCACAAGCCTGCAATTTTGGAGCGAAACCTTCAATTAATCAACGATGGAAGCCAGTCAGTGGTGACCAATCTAGTTTGTGGAACTCATTCATCACCTAATCTGTTGCCAATAAGCTCAATTTGCATGGCTCTCTGGACTGCTCTCCATTCCCTAATTCCACACATTCCTTGGGATGACACTCTTGGAGAATTGAGATGGAGGTTTTAAATGAAATCAAGGGCAAGACCAACAGGTTCCCAATAGGGTACAGTTTTGATCCCAAAGATGATATTCTCACGGGTTATTATCTCGAAAAAAAATCTTATCGCAACCATTCCATAATAGCCTTATTCAAGACTGAGATCATATTTTGTTTATGTGATAGTAACCAGCAAGAATATCATCTTTGGGGTCGAACTTGTACCCAACTGGGAACTTGTAGGTCCTGCCCTTGATTTCATTCAAAACCTCCAGCTTAATTCCTAGAGAGACATCCTAAGACGTGTGGGATTAGAGAACTGAGAGAAGTCCAGAGAGACATGCAAATTGAGCTCACTGGCAAACAGGTGATTGCCAAAAGGAACCCTTCATGTTTTGGGAAGGCAAGGGCAAAAATTTCACCTAAACAAATTGGGTGATGAATGAGTTCCACAGACTAGATTGATTGCCACTAACTGGCTTCTGTTGTTGGTTGATTGAAGGTTCCCCTCCGGACTGTCAGGCTTGTGGACTAGGGACTCCGTTTCGACATCTTCATCAACTGAATAAAGGGTTTCACTTATGGGACTATTCTTAAACCGAGTCATTTTCTCAGTGAATTGGCTCCGATGCTCTGTGTCCATGGGATCAACTCTATCTTAAAGATCTGGAGGATCCGAAACTACAAGCTCTCAAGTGGGAACAAGATCTGTTACTATTGATAGGTATGTAATTGAAGAATCTAGATCTGCGATATATGGATACAAAAGAGGATATGCTCCAACCAAAACCGCATCTCTGTTTGCACATAGATAATGTGGCTGGTGGAACCCCTTTTTGATTCAAGACTGTGATGCTTACCGAACTAAACATTGGGGGCTTCCAAAAGGAACCACGTCATTCTCGACATATGAGAGAGACTGTGATAAACATCTTAGAATGTCGGATTAGACCTAATACAATATTACAAAATTAGCTAATAAGGTAAGGATTGTTTCCCACTTATATACTCTATTTTGACCATATTGCTAACCAACTTGGGAACTCAACAATTACCAACTAGCAAATCCAAAATGAATTCAACAACCTAGATTCCAACCACAACCAACAAACTTCCAACATAAATCCTACCGCAATCGATAACCAAATGACTAGAAATACATTCCACTATTCCCTGAGAGCAAAAAATAACTCACATTCTTCAACTCAAACATCAACTAGTACCTAGGAAACAACCAATAAACTCATACCTCCTACACATCACACTGAATAGAAAAGTAACCCCCCTCCCCCCAAACAACTAACCATAGAAACCTCTAAACAGAACATCTACCCTTAAATTAACCAAACCAACAAAGAAAGAACCGAAAGTCACCATCAAACCAACCTGCAAACATTAACTACCACTTGTTTGGGCCATCATTCCCACAATGCGGTACCACCACAAACCATTTGTCACCCTTTCCCATGAACAATTAAACCTAAAAACCAACCAAACCCACACATGTCTATGATAGAGACCAAATCCCTGAAACATAGAGCCTGCACACCACCTATAGAGACCACAAATGCCCAATCACCCTGGTTCTGTACATTAGTATTGTAAGAGGGAAAAAAATCGTTAGGCCCTGTTTTGTCACCCAAAGATTCATATGTCACACTTCAATTCCTTAAAATTCAATGTCTCGTCAGATTAATCATTTTGCCAGCATGTGCACCAAATGAATTCCTTGGTGGTGTTGCCACTCGAATTCTTAGATGGCATTAACAAGCCATATTAGCACTTAACAGGTCACAATAGAATCCATTAGTGATGTTTCTTTTGGAGGCTAATAGAGGAACTAATGTGGTGACAAATTTCAATGTTGAGGGGCTATACTAATGGGAGAATTTTTGTAGGGTCTAATTTGACGTCCCATGAATATTTCAAGGACAAAAATGAAAGTTAACTCTTGATCAACATTATCTTCTTTTTCATAAAAGCTGCATCTGGAGACAAACAAAATGTGAAGTTTGGCAGCACAAGAATATGAGATGCCAGGACAATTTCATGTTTGCAACAAAGTCAATACTGGCTGTGTGCCTAAGTTGCACATTAAAATATGATGTTTCCTGCACCTATTAAAAGTATAGAAAGAACCTCAAGAAGTATTTATATAATACCTTTCCAATAAAAGCTGATGAACCTCCTAATCGGGATATGCCTACTGCAACATTAGCAGGGGCACCTCCTGGAGCCTTCTTAAACGCAGGTGCTTCAGCCAAAGAAAGGCCATTGATAGTTGGGACAAAATCAATAAGCATTTCCCCAAAACAAACCACAAGAGGTGGTTCCTTTGCTTCAGGTGTCCCATCACCAGAAAACGCCTTTCCTGTAACAAAGAAAAGTTGACACTTGAAAATATATTCATATCATAACTTGGTAGTTGGTACCTTCAAAAGTGAAACTAAAGAAAGAAGCAACAAAATCTTTTAAATTAAGGAGTCATTATAAGAAGCTTTTACGAAGCTTATTTGTGCTTATGAAAAAATTAATTCCTATAAATTTGTTTATTTAAAGAATAACATTTTCAAACTTTTTACATAATCATTTAATCACAAACTAACAAATTTGTTGATTTTTATAATAATTATTTTGAAAGTCATATTAAAAATGATTTTTGATGTTTGATAGTACAAAAAATTTAACAGTGAAAACTATTAAACTCTTATATAAGTCTCATGATAAATTTATTACAAAAACTCTCACCTTATAACTTATAAGAGCTAAGTTACTAAATAAGCACTTATTAAGCTATTAATCCAAAAACACCTAAAAGCTCATAGACACACAACTCCAATTGATAATGCAGACTGCACCCTCCCCTAATTGCAACACCAAATTCCAAAACACTGCAAAGTCTCAAACATAACAGGAAACAGTTGCCCATCTTTATAACATGCAAACAAAATTGGATTTGATGAATACCCAGAATTTGGATTACCTCTGATATTGAATTTGACAAGTGGGGGAGAAAGAGGAGCAGAAAAGGCCGAAGCTTTGACAGTGGGGTGACTCAACTTGACAGAACTAGCCACACTGGTGAAGCAGAAAGCACCACTGTGAAGAGCCATCGAACAAGGAAATCAATACTCAACACTTCTCACAGCCTTAGCTCTTCAATTTTCTCTCTGCGAGGTATGGGGGCGTGATAATTGATGGGGTTTGTGAGAAAATTGGCTTTGGAATGGACGAAAAAATTGAATTACTGTGTTACGAAGTTGGCAAAGAACACAGAATGTATAGTGTACAGTTCAGTGCTGATTTTTATTTATTTGTATCGTTTGTTTTTCAGACAACGGATTCATTAGCTATTTCATTATCATGTTTTGGACTGCTTAGTGATGACGCTGTTCAACTGAGAATCAATGAATCATGTTGCTAAAACCGTTAAAAAAACATCAAATATTTTAATACAAAAACAAATTTTATATATGCGTAACACAGTGCTTTTGCTTTGATATAGAAATAAATGAGAAATAGAATATATATATATATATATATATATAT